TCCGGAATATACTTACTGTTTCACCTTCCATCTAAACGATGTTTATCTGAATTTTGTACTCTGGAACTTTCAACCAGAGACAAATCATTAAATTACTTCAACAAGTAGAAATAGCAACACCGCTCCCCAACAGCAATTTCTGCATTGCTAGACACTTATCTAGTTGGTAGATTTATAACAATGTTCATTCTTAGTTCCCTAAATGTAAAAAATACCCACAGAACGGTGGCATACCTCTAAATTAGTTTAAATATAGCTCAAAATTATTTTTAGTTATGCTCACGACTTAAAAAGGCACTAATCATTCTTCTCCAAGGCTAACCTACTCAAGTTCCTTTCCTATTAAAGATAATAAAAACCTAACTTTTCTCTTTGCTCAACTTCTCTACTGTAAAACATATATTAATACCTTTAGAATGAGTTATGTTATGTTACGCTATGTAATGTTCAACCAATAAAAGGACATCAGTAATAGACCTAACACCAAATCGGGATCAGAATCATACTTATTGTGAAAAAAAATAGATTTGAGATTTATTCTAATGTTAGTGCTTACAACAACTGGCATGATTAAATGTCTTTTATGTTCACTTGCAAATATAATTGACATAATAGAAATATGTTCATATCCTTTACTGTGCAAAGAAAACTAAAGAACACCACAAATTTATTACAGCCAGTACTTATTAATGCAACAACAATAAAAAAAACAGGACACACTGACTTAACAAAATTATCGAGATGTTGTCTACTCCTTACTTGCATACTAGAAAGACGCAGAGACAAACACTTCCAAATATTCAGACAGATCATTCCACAGTTGTAACTTTCATCACAGTTCTCAAAGCAGCACGGTGAGGTCAGTGCACAAACAGCTTAAACAGCAAAAGGAGGAATTGGTGGTAGTAGTATCAGGCTACACAACAGCATCTCCAAAGAACATGAAGTAAGAGGACTAAAATGCTCTGGCAGCATGCCAAAAGGCTGGATGGGCTACAACTCTGAGCAAGGAACACACAGAGCTTACAGTATATAAGTATTCACCATCTCTCATTCTGCAGCTTGACTTTGTTTTAAACCAAAAATAGCCATGTATAAGAAATATTTAACACCATCAAATTTCCCCATACTTCTGAGTTGGATGATATCAGAGTTATCAATCATTTCCAATAAGCTAAACACATACCCTAAAAGATCAGTACAACCTGCACTATTGAAGATAGGTAAAACAGATTTTGCTATCATTCTGCAGTAAGAGGCTTTATTCTCTAAGAATTATACTACCCTCAGCTCAGTTCCAAGGGCTTGGGTTTTCCTATATGTTATTTCTAACTCAATACCTATGCAACTAATTAGCATTTAAAGCTGGTCAAATTATGGACCAATATGCAAATACAAATTACATATTTTTAATAACTAATTAATCCTATTATACCAAAGAACATGGGTCTTTTTGGGGGGGTCAGAAACAATTCCTGACAATACTTTCTAACCAAAGCATGTTACTTTTATCATTTCATCTTGATGAATCACATATTAATATAGAATAATAGTCTAATTCTTAAGTTTGATACTTTCCAAACACATTAAAGAACCAAAGAGAAAATAATCTTAGGCAAGAGTATCAGATTCACCTCAAATCTACCCACATTTATTTAACACCTATTTTTGTACCAGGTAGGATGCTGGGAACTGAGAAAACAAAGATAAATATGTAGGTGGTCTTAGAGAGCCACCACCTAGCTGAGTTTACTGACCCCTTAAAACACACATACACTAATGTTCTCTACTACCTATAGTAACAATGAAGAAAGCAAGTCAGTATTTCCTTCTGCTGGAAAAAAATCTTTAGAGAAGTAAGATCTATGTAGTTTTGAAGGACAAACATTTTATAAGAAAAAGAGAAAGCTATTCCAAGTTAAAAAGAACAGAAATAGCAAAAGAATGCAAGCACAATAAAGTTGGCATATATCTACACCAAGATATATACCATGTGGCAAGAGTAGGAATTACAATTTCTTACACATATGCTAATACTCTTCTGCTGCTCATATACAGAAATAACTAGTCAATTAAAAGGACATTTTAAAGCCTAAAAGAGACTTTGGAATTCTTCTCAAAAGATAGCCAAAACCAAGACATAGGTTCCCAAATTTGGCCTACCACCCCCTTTTCAAAAAAAAAAAATTACTCAGCAGCCCCTTGGCAATGGAAAACTTTTGTACTACAGCCCATACATAATCCAGGATAAAGTGTAGAGTGTTTGCTACCCCCCTGGACCATTCCAGCACCTTCCCCCCAACTTTGGGAAAAACTAGTCTAGAAGATGAAACCTAAGCCCCATCCCAAACTTGGTAACAGAAAGTTGTGGAACTTGAGGCTAAAAGGATAAATTATAAATGCTCATAAATGCTAGGTCAAAGATTTTATCCAGTAGACAGCAGAGGACCAACAAAGGATTTTAAGAAAAATACCGATGTTACCAGTTTTGGCAGATGTGTGAAGAATGAGTTAGGACACTGGAAAAGAAGGCAGACAGGGCAGTTAAAATGTTACTGCAACCGGCTAAGCAAGATACTGTGAGATCTGAATTAGGGCAATGGCAAAAATCTACTGCCAGTCTTAAAAGACAAATGGAGAATATGGGATTCTTATAATCTTGGTTTTCAAAGAAGAGCTGAAGAAAAACTAACACTCTCATTAGAATTCCCAGGTTTTAACACTCAAAAAGACAAAAGAAAAGGCCAATTAAAGGCTGGAATTAAGGAACTGGATCACAATGATATCCAAGATTACTCAAGACTATAAATTCAGAAATAGATCTTTCAGGTTTAGCATCAAGAAAGAGAACGTCCTCATGACCAGACTAATACTCAGCAAGTCTTTTCTTCCTCCCGGGCATAACACGCTAGCCAAACAGCCAACGCTACTCACCTCACATGCCCCTACAATGCAGGGTCATAGCACACTGCCAGAGATGAAAAACACAACTCTCAAATTTAAAATCCAAATGTAAACCCCTGTAAGAATCCCACTTTACCCAAACATGTAAAATTACACAATACTTTTAAAAACATACTTCTATAAAATAAATCTTCTGGAGATAATGTTGTTCTACCATGAACTAATTCACATCCCACACCTTTAAACTGAAATGTTTTTGTGTGGCATGCACTTTGGGTAATACACAAGGAAAAGAACTTTTTCTTACCACTTTTGTAGAATTGCTTAATAAATTATGCTAATTAAAATATTTCTTTTAATTTCTTTTTTTTAGCTCAAAGGCAAAAGATAGTGAACATTTTTGTTTTCTCAAAAAGGACTTTAACAAAAGGGCTCAAACAAAGACTAGTATGGTGATGTGAAATCCAAGAGCAATATGTTACTAGGCATGCTAGAAAAGCTAGTATTTCTGTCTAAATACCTAAGCTTATTCTCATTCAGGATAAAATTATCCTGTAGTGAATGACAATAATGTTCTGCATTCTATAAGGACACACACTGAAGGTTTTATTTTGTTCTCAGCCCAATTCTTTTATGTCCCAACAACAAACTCTCAAATTGAGAATCCTCTTAAACAAGTTAAATGAAAAACATGAACTCATAGAGAGAATTTTTTTGTGACACACACACACATATATATAATTTTTTTCCTGAGAATGCAAAATAGCGGAACAGTTTATCTGAATCTATCTCCTCTCCAGAAAGATTAAGATAAAGTAGCCATGAGCAGGGTCTACTTATGATGCCATTCCAAAACCATTACTAAAATTTACACATTTTGTTTCCTGCACATCAGTCACAAAACTAGTCATCCTAAGACTGAGGTCAAATTCCATCCCAAGTAATAGCTCTCCAAAGTTGAAGTAATGGTCCATTGACTATACAACTCAAAGACTAAATTCCAGAATGACCCTCCTCCCTTACCTCCCCCACTTTTAAAAAGTTATTCTTCTCCTTTTAGCTCATTGTAATGGAATGTGACCTGTACTTAGGGCTTTCCCATTCCTTATTTACCGTTTAGAAGAGAATCTCCAGGACCAGTGGTGTGAGTGGCGAAACAGGGAGGGTAAAAGGAGAATGGGTAGGAAAGAGGGAACCGATTACATGGAACTGTGTGTGACCTCCTCCCTGGGGGACAGACAACAGAAAAGTGGGTGAAGGGAGACGTTGGACAGGGCAAGATATGACAAAATACCCATTTATAAACTATCAAGGGCTCATGAGGGAGGGGGGAGCGGGGAGGGAGGGGAAAAATGAGGACCTAATGTTGGGGGTTTAAGTGGAGAGAAAGTGTTTTGAGAAATGATGTACAAATGCGCTTTACACAATTGATGTGTGTATGGATTGGGATAACAGTTGTATGAGCCCCTAATAAAATGTTAAAAAAAAAAAAGAAGAGAGTCTCCCTCTCATAAGGATAATTGCTTTTTGTTTTCAAGGAAAAAGTGAAATGTAGGTGTTAATCACATAATAACAATTAGAACAACAAGATTTAAAAATTGGTTCAGAAAAAAAAAAATTGGTTCAGTAGATTTCTCATGTATACATCGATCTCCTTTAGAACACACATAATACAAGAAGAAAGATGTATTAAATGACAATTTAATCTTTATGTTTTACAAATAATGTATGATTTGCATGTCTCCAAATAAATTGGGTAAGGAAAAGGAGGTTAAAAATTCAACTTAAATAAGGCACAAAATTCTTATAAACATCTTTCCATGACAAATCATATTTTTATCCCTGGAGTTACAACTAAGTACCTAATGTAGAGAGATGAACATGGAAGCATTTAAGAAATGTATTTCAAAGTCTAAAATTAAACACTTAAATCTATCTGGGGTTCAGTTTCTCATTTGTAAAAAAAGAAAGTATATGACTGGATGATTTTTAAAGTGACTTCCATATAACTTTAGCCCAAGTTTTAAAACGAACAATTTCTTTGATTCAATTCAGACAACCAGGATATAAACCCCTGGAGAATATATTTTACTTACATTCTTCCTACACCTTCATACATGTGAGTCTCATCGACCAGAGTCATAATCTCTGTGTCTGTAAGATGCGCATGCTTTCTCGTTCTGCTTAGCTGCTCAATCTGTATGTCTGCAAGCTTCACCTTCTGCTGGGTGTCAATGACTTTGGCTTGGAGCTCTGTAAAGGCCTAATAAAAACAAGTCCTTGAGTTAGTAAGTAAAATATTTTACAAGAAATATTGATATAAAACTCAAATATATTAAAAGAAAACATGCTAATCCTCGACAAAACTGTGACATTTGCCAAAGCAAACATCGATAAAAGTATAACCACAAATGATCAAGGTTCTATAATAAATATAGAATTTATTGATTGTGGTAATAGTTGTACAACTCTTCTTGTTATGATACTGAATTGCATGTGGATTATGTCCCCAAAAAGCTGTTTAAATATAGAATTTACACTACCCTCAGAAGATGCACTCTATGTGAACAAGAAATACACATTAAATAATATCCATATGAAGTAGCGAGCCTCTAAAGAGTAACAAAATGCAATAGTTAGAGGGCAAAATGGATTCAAATAGCAACCATATATGTAACAACTCATATTATGCTTCTGAGTTTTAAAACATTTTCCCCCATGAATTTGATTATTAGATAAGACTATACAAGGGGGCTTCAAAAAGTTCATGGAAAAATTATCTTTTATTTCAATTTTCCAAAGGATTTTCTAAAGACCCCTCACATAGTTAACATCTCATTTACTCTTCTCAAGAAGACTGTAGATCGTTGTTGTTGTTGAGGTGGTACTGAGTCCGTTTCAACGCACAGCGACCCTATGCACAACTGAACAAAGCACTGCCTGGTCCTGCACCATCCTCACAAATGCTGAGCCAATTGTGGCAGCCATAGTGTCAGTCACTCTGGCGAAGAGCCTTCTTCCCTTTCAACATGTCCCACATATGTAAGATGAAGTTTTGCCACCCTTGCCTCCAAGGTGCATTCGGACAGCACTTCTTCCAAGGTACATGTGTGCGTTCTTTTGGCAGTCCAGGGTACTTTCAATCTTCTTCTCCAGCACCACAATCCAAATGCATCGGTTCTTCTTCAGTCATCCTGATTCAGTGCCCAACTTTCACATGCAGATGGGACAATGGAAAATACCGTGGCTTGGATCAGGCACACCTTAGCCCTCAAAGTAACATCCTTGTTTTTTAATACTTTTTCTTTTTTCTTTTGCTTTGTAATTCTTTAAAGAGGTTGTGTGCAGCAGATTTGCCCAATGCAATGTGTCATTTGATCTCGACTGCTGCTTCCTGGATCCAAACAAGACAAAAGATCCTTGACAACGTCAATCTTTTCTGTTTATCACGCTGTTACCTAGTGTGAGAGTTGGGTCTTTACATTGAGTTGCAGTCCACATGAAGACTGCCATCCTTGATGGTCATCAGTATGTGCCTGAAGTCCTCCTGACTTTCAAGCAAGGTTATGCCATCTGCGTAACTCAGGTTGTTAAGAAGCCTCCCTCTCATCCTGATGCCACATTCTTCTTCATACAACCCAGTTTCTCTGATGATTTACTCAGCATAGGGATTGAGTAAGTAAAGTGAGGATACAACCCTAATGCACACCCTATGTGCAAACCCTGTATGTTAGGAATAGCAGTTTCCTCATCCAACAATTTACAAATTAACTAAAATTATTAAGATATACGTGCACAGGGCTGCCTAACTATTAGGTAGAAAAGCAGGGATTCAAATCTATTTCTTCTGATCTCTCTTTCAAGTCTCTTCCATACTACTGTCTACTGCGTTCGTTAGAGTATGAATTGTTAAAAACAACAGAAAGAGAGGAGGGAGTGGAATGCACTGACAAGAATTTCATGGTGATCTTCACACACACACACCAAGTCAAATTTTACACTGTGTCCGCTTACTTAGCTGGAAGATAAATTCAGTTCTTGGATACTACTGTGGAAGTGCCTGGGATGACTTTCACATGCTGTCAAACTAATGCCCTACGAATAACATCCGTGACTACAATACATGGCCAACGCTACTAACCCATGTCTTCTGACCTTGTTCTCACCTACTAGCAAGGTCTCAAAAGATTTATTTTGGGGGAAAGAAGGCGCCCCAAATTTTCTTTTAGTCTCCATCAAAAAAGAGATGTTGAAAAAAGTTTGCAAACTTTTGAACAGCAAATTTCCCAGTTGTTTTGGTTTTTAGTTGATTGTCAAAAGCTGTGCAAGTTAAGTAGGTCTATCATTCTCTTCACATTTTTACATTGTTGTGTACGTGGTTTCTAGCAGTAAATTAAAATATTAGAAGTTTTAAGTCCATTTACTGTGTTTTTTTAAAAGCAAGGAATTCAAATAATACTGCGAAAATTCATCCACACTTGTACTCCTTTGTTCGCTTTCAGTAAACTGTTAAATATAATCTGAATTTTTAACAGGAAAATACATATATTACAGTTTTGGAACCCACAAATTGACAGTGTTCTGAAATGGAAAATTCTGGCGACCACCTGTTTGTTCTGCATACAGTTTGGTAAGGATGTTAGCATATTGTTAAAACTTTTACAACATTAGAGAACACTACTTGAATTTACAGATTTCAAGAAAAAATGGCAGACACACACAAATATATACATAAAATCCTCAAAGAAGTAACAAACAGCTGCATTTACTAGGATCAAAAGCTATTTCAGCTATCCTTATGCAAAAGCTGACCAGAGGGAAGTCTTAAGATATAACATATTTGACCATCTAAACTAATGGCCCAAAAGTGTAAAGATAAAGAACACTAGAGTCTACCACAACCTCAACAGTCTTCTGAAATTTCCTTTATACCTACACATTTAAAGGAGGATAGTTCAAGGTCCTTTAGAATCTCTCCCCACCCCCACCCCCGCAGGTGCACATGGTTTGAGGTAGGTAGTGTTAGAATCCTGACCAATTCTGAGACAACGAAATCTGTGCCAACACACTTTTAGACCTTGGAACAAAGATAACCAATTCCTTCTCGTGCAGATTTTACTTGCAAAACGTCGCTTGACGTGTGTGTGTCACATTCCCCCAAAAAGGGCGTGTGTGTGTGTGTGTGTGTGTGTGTGTGTGTGTCTCACATTCCCCAAAAAAGGGCGTGTTTGGGTGCTGCGGTAGTTAGGTCCTTGGGTCCGTGGAGCCAGGGGAGAAAGTGGCAGTGTGCTTCTGCAGAGCTGTCCACGGAGAAACCCTGTGGACAGTCTACTCCGTCCTGCAGGGCGGCTGTGAGTCGAATGGTCTCCTAGGCAGCGTTGGTTGGGGGGGGGGCGGGGGAGGGGAGTTGTCAAAGCCCTAAGGTGAGCATTTCTATGAACATATCTAACGTCCTGAACGGTGGAAACTGTGACCTTTCGAGATATGCTCTCAAGTAAAGGGTCTAGCGTTTGGACCAGCGTTTTGCAAGCCACGAAGGGCAGGATTACAGGTGCTGCAGCTCGCGGAGCCAATGTGAAACGCTCCCTTTGGATCTTACTAAGGCCTGCGTCCCTGGACGCTCCCTGCGCAAACAGCTCGGGAGCTCAGAAGGAGGGGACGGGGCCGGGCCGGGTCCACGGACTTAAAGGGACCCCGCCCAACGGGCTCCCGTCCAGCAGGAGCCGCTCGCCCCCTCCCAAGCCTAAGGAGACCCAGTCCCGCCTCAGGATTTAGGGAAACATTTCCCAGGCCCCTGAAGTCTCTTTCCTTTGTGGGAGTAGGGCCCTAATCAATATTCTTGTCCACAGTCCCCTCGGCTTCGAAAAAGACGCCTCTGCCCTCTCAACACCCTCTTTTACCTTCTTCAACTCCAGATCCACGGGAGCCGCCATCTTGGTCCGCGCCGTGCGCATGCGCAGTAGGGGGGAGGTCCGAAAGGCGGAGGGTGGGGCAAGGGTTCGTTCTGGTCCAACCGATTGTCCGCCTCGTGCGCCCGCGCATGCGCGCCGCTCTGGGCTGCAGGGCCCCGGGTTGCTTAGACCGGATTTGGTTTCCACGTGCCCCAGACCCTGCCAATGGATGGTAGTCGTTGTGTGTGGGTTCAAACAATTTGACAATGGGTTAGTCTGTGCGGCTGAACTGGGATGTATGTAGATCGCACCAAGCCTTCCGTTGTTCAGCCCTTCAGCTAGTCCGCGTGTAATACAGAGACAGTAACTGCATTAAGGGTTCCTTGGGGGTGTGGCAGGGGAGTTTGGGAGGGAAGTAGAGAGTTTAATAACGATGAGTACAAGAACGCAGAAAATGTCCTAAAATTTATTGTGGTGATGATTGTACAAGTCGTCTTACTATGATTGAACTATTGTATGATTTGTGAATCATATGCCAATAAAACTTAAAAGGATTCAATCCCTAGCCTCAGGCATGCCCATATTCTCCAGAAGGCTTGAAATGCATTTCCAAATAACTAATTTCTGCTGAATGCACTCTGAAATATCATCTACCAAGGGTGGGGGACCTTTTTTTCGGCCAGGGGTCATTTGAATATTTATAACGTCATTTGAGGGCCATATTGGCCAAAACAACTAATGCAGCCGCAATGTGATGGCTGGAACTGCTTCTCTTTGGTGAGGCTTGTGATGTTAGCTGGGATTCATGATTTCTTGGGCCTTATAAGGCCCATGGCTCAGACACTCCCCGCCCTTGTTCTAGACACAGTGGTTTTCAAGAGAAACTCACTATGTTTGTTTAAAAAGACTTGTTCTCTGGACCTTACAAGCTTTTAAAACCTCAAACACTAACTACATAATGAACTAGACGGTAGCCTAGAAACACTGAGCATGATACTAGGCCAATTAACTGAGATGTCTCCTGGAGTCATTACTCTGAACTGTAGGACACAATAGAACGTCCCCCTGTGAGTGTCCAAATCTGTAATTCTTTATAGGAGTAGAAATCGTCATCTTTTCCCACCAGATCAGCTGGTGGTTATGAATTGCTACTGCTTGTTTAACCACCAAACCAAATCCATTGCCATCATCAGCTTCAACACATTGACACCCAGAGAGAATCCAGAGTAGAACTGCCCTCATAGAATTGCCAACGCTGTAAATCTTTGACTGTCACAACTTTCTGCCACAGAGCAACTGATGAGTTTGAATAATGAACCTTTTGGTTTGCAGTCAAGTGCTTTAACCACTGTGCCATTAATGAAAATTATTACATTAATTAGTGTGATTTTTCCATCACTATAAACCAAACCTTTTTTTTTTCTTTCGGAAGATAATTCAAAATCGGGTATAACAGTACATCCAACGGGGATGCCAGAAATTCAAGCTAGATTCAGAAGAGGACATGAAACAATGGACATTATTGCTGATGTCAGATGGATCTTGACTGGAAGCAGAGACTATCAAGATATTTATTTGTATTTTATTAGCTATACAAAAAAAATGAACCGTGGGAAACAGAAAGGTTATTTCCCAGGTCGTCCCCCCAAATTGTATGCCAAATCTATGGTGCTGCTTGCTAACACAGTCAATGACTATACACTTGGAGGTCAACTGCTTAAAAGTTATCTCCCGGAGGGTTATCAGCCATCTAGAGCAATCAGACCCTGTATAGTCTGTCCCATCCTAAATAGGGCCATTCCCTTCTGATAAGGAAAATGGATTGTTCCCTTGAAGGAGAGCCCAAAGATACGGTCAAGCCAACTCAGAGAGGACCAAGGTAGGGCTGCCATCTTGAATCTAGAGTCCACCCATCTTGTCACATGTTACCTCTAGTGCCTCCCCTTCCTTTTGCATATGCACCCCTAACTTGTTCCCCTCCTGTCACATGCATGCCTATGGTACAACCCCCCTTCCTGTTACGCATGTGGTTCCCTGTAATTAGGGGGGCTTGCATGCCCCCAAGTGTATATAATAAGCCTTGGTTTGAAATATATTTGCTCTCTCTGCGTGAGCCTGGCTGCTGAGATCATGACTGTCCCAGAAGTGAGCAATTGCAGGCTTTATCTTGTCTGATGTCTCTTTCATTTTACCCCTCAATCACACAACCACCCCTTGGACACATTCGATTGTGGGAGCTGGTACCCCACATTCAACTCTGTGGACCTTAGCAATATATGGAAAATACTGTGAAGAATTGGCATTCCAGACACTGAATTGTGCTCATGAGAAACATGTACACGGACCAAGAGGCAACCATGTGAACAAAACAAGAGAATAGTTCACGGTTTGATATCAGGAAAGATATTGTCAGAGTTGTAGCCTTGCACCATATTTATTCAAGATGATGCTGAACAAATCACCTGAGAAGCTGGACTGTATGGAAAGCACACGGTCAGGATCCAGGGAAGACTCATGACCAGCTTATAGACTGCAGACACAACCTGCTTGCTGAAAGTGAAGAGAACTTGAAGCGCTAACTGATAAAGATCAAAGATGACAGCCTTTAGAATAGATTACAGCTCAACATAAAACAAAAATTCTCAGAACAGAGCCAATAAACAGTATCATCATAAATGTTTTGAAATGTATTGGTTAAGGAATTATTTTTAAGTGTTATTATTTCCTTTAACTTTATGGAGAATAAGATCAAGCTTTACAGAGGAAAGTAGTTTACTTTTGCCATTAAAATATTCATACACAGTTTATGTCATATTATTGGTTGCATTCCCCACAATGTAACCTCACTTACCCCACTTCCTTCCTGTAATTCCTGTTTCCTTTCCTCCTTTTTTCCTAACCCTTCCTGTCTTCAAAAGTTTGTCCTTGGAGAGGAAAGTAAAAGGAAATAGAGGAAAGAACTAGGAAGCAAAGGGCCTTTATAAAAGTCTAAATACAGCATGTACATATGTAAATTTATTTATATATGATCATGGGGAAATAGATCTATTGCATATATTTATAGGTTTAGTATTAAGATAGCAGATGGACATTGGGCCTCCACTCAAGTACTCCCTCAATGCAAGAATACTTTGTTCTATTAAACTGGCATTCTGTGATGCTCACCCTCCTGACACAATCGCTGAAGACAAAGCAGGAGAATAAGCAAATGTGGTGAAGAAAGCTGATGGTGCCCAGCTATCAAAAGATATAGCATCTGGGGTCTTAAAGGCTTGAGGATAAACAAGTGGCCATCTAAATGAGAAGCAACAAAGCACACATGGAAGAAGCACACCAGCCTTCGCCGGATTGTCACTGGCACCTGTGTTGAGCTTAAGCAGGCTTCAGTGAACCGCCTGGGGATGGGGAGCCGGACATTGCATGGGGTACCCAACCTCCAGTCAGGGAATGAACTCATCTACCAGTGTGGCGATGGCAAACTCGGTAAGACACTGCCCTGACAGACAGCACTCTGATGCACGATCTCTCGGTAAATGCGGCATCATCTGCACGGAGGATCTGATTCATGGGATCTGTGCTGCTGGGAAACTCTTTCAAAGAAGCTATAACTTCCTGTGGTCCCTCAACTGATCTTCTCCAGGAGGTGGTATGAAGAAAACGACCATGCATTTTGTAGAGAGTAGGGATACTGCAACAAGGAAGACCACCGGACTCATTAAGTGACTCATCAGAAGAATGAACTAAGGTGTTTACCATGATTATTTCTGTAATCTGGTCAGTTAATAAAACAGTTACCACTTTCAAATGTAGGGGTGGGGGTAAGGCAATCAGGAAAGGTGTGTATCAGGGTTGTCTCCTCTCCCCTTACTTAATCAATCTGTATGCTGAGCAAATCATCAGAGAAGCTGGATTCTTTGAAGAAGAATACAGCATAAGGATTGGAGGATGGTGGCTTAACAACCTGCCATCAGGAGATGGCACAACCTTGCTTGCTGAAAGGGAGAAGGACTTCAGGCCCATGAAGGACTGCGGATGAAGGTCAAGGACTGCAGCCTTCAGTATGGATTACAACTCAATGTGAAGAAAACAGCATCCTCACAAGTAGATCAATGGAGAACATCACGATCAATGGAGAAAAGGTGGAAGTTGTCAAGGATTTTGTCTTGCTTGGATCCACAGTTAATGTTCGTGAAGCAGCAGTCAAGAAATCAAACGATGAAAGAAAGAAAGAACTCAAGCAAAGCATTGCATTGACTACACCTGGTGCACAAGTTCTCTTTAACAAAAAAGAAACCCAAACTCACTGCCACCCGAGCTTGTGCCAACGCATAGCAATCTTTTCCTTTCTTTTTTTTTTTAGGGAAAAGCAAGGCTTTATTTAGACAAACAGATACCAGTCATTTCTGTGTTTCTGGACATCAACCAAGAGTTGGTTCTGGTTAAAGGTAGCTTGTCCTTCCTCTCTTCTCCAAGAACTCCTCCTCCTCCTCCCCTGAAACAGTTTGTTTTCAATTGGGTGTTCTCCCCTCTCCCCTGGCCCGTGTGTATGGATCCTATGACCCCCTCAGACAGTTCCTTCTGGAACAAGTTCTCCTCTCCTCCCCCAGCCAGCCCCAGTGGGTTCATCTTTTCAGGTTCTAGGGCTAGGACAGAGGTAAGACATGTGATTTGTTTCCTCACTGGGGGATAGCAATCTTATAGGGAACAACTGCCCCTGGGACTACCTTTTCAGGAGTAGAAAGCCCCATCTTTCTCCCTTGGAGCAGCTGGTGGTTTTGAACTACTGACCTTCCAGATTTCAGTCCAACACATAACCACTGAACCACCAGGGCCCCTAAAACCTCTTTAGAGTATTAAAATGCAAGGATGTTACTCTGAGGACTAATATGTGCCTGACCCAAGTCGTGGTATTTTCTACTGCCTCATCTGCATGTGAAAGTTGGACATTGCATAAGGAAGACTGAAGAGAATCGGTGCTTTTGAATGATGGTGCATGGACTGCCAAAAAAAATAAAAAAGAACCAGTAAATCCATCTTGGAAGAAGTACAGCAAGAGTGTTCCTTAGAGG